CTGCAGGAACTGTGAAACTTTTCAGTGCGTCGCCTGTCAGTCAAATCAAGCAGGCGAAGAGCGGTGGTGAAAGCAGTTTCTCGGATGTCAAGAAGCTAGTTGACAAGATTGACTGGGATCTGTATTTTGCAGTTCTATTTCCGGTTTGGGGCGATAACTATTGGAGATTGCTTGTTGTTGAAGTGCCAGCCAAGCCATCAAGACGCATGTTTCACGTTGACTCTTGTGTGGAGATTCATGAGTCTAGCCACGTATTCAGCATCGCAACAAAACTTTTGGCTGCAGTCTGTGAGGTCACCTCTGATGGTTCTCCAACGGTATCCGTCTGTGAAACTCACCCGCAGCAAAAAAAAACAACTCCGATTGTGGGATCTACATGTTGTATTACATGGAGAAGATCGCCGTGTATCTCTCTCAGAACAAGACCAAATCGATCCAAAGCGAAATTAAAAAGCTGACGTCTGGATTGAATATTGGAAGGTCGGACAAGTTCCACATTAAAATGAACCAAAGGCCGAACAATCTCACCGGTACAAGCAACTAGTCAGCTCAGCAGCGTTTGGCAGTATTAAATTCACAAATACACTTTTTGAGATGCTGTACATCCGGAACGAATGTGTTCTGAGTATGTGAGTGGAAAGGTTATTTGGATTTACGTCACTTATTCAGTAACAGGCCACTTATTCAGCAACAGGCCACTTATTCAGTAATAGGCCACTTATTCAGTAACGGACCACTTATTCAGTAACGGGCCACTTATTTGGTATTGGGCCTCTAATTCTGTGATATACGTGGCCGGTTGTTCGATAACCGGCCTCTTCTTTGGTAGCTCCCCTACCTCACTACGAATTAAACCTAACGTTCCTTTGTGACCAGTCTATTTTGTTTTATCAATCACTGAAGCGTCGGTCAGTGTCGGCCGCAGTCGGCAGATTTACGCTATGGTGGAGCATTCACTCGAGCTATTGGAGTGCATCACAGGATGTGACCGCTGACCAGCCCGGCGACTAGGGCTTGATATTTCCTGCGCTGCTGATCTAACGACATGCCCATGAAGCGGTCGGCTAAAGGAGCATTAGCAGGTATAGATCCAGCTCCGCTTGGGGTTTCGTTATTGGTACTCGGCCGTCTTGCCACCATCAGTCAACACAGCTACTCACAGTGCGACGTTTCTGCAGACTAGGAAGGATGGTCTTGAGATACTTCGTTGTGCTCTGCGGCTGGAATGTTGATATACGATCTGCTTCCTCCTCCGCCCATTATCTCTATCCTTCTTAAGTTGGATCACGGATGCGCGTTATGAAGTTCCTACTGGAGCCTGAGAAAATTTATAGCCTGATCCTGTCTTGTGCGGCTTTACCAGAACACTGCACAATTACAGAAACTGGACTAATGAAAATGCCGGAAAACGAGCCAGCGAAGTAACTGTTGTCGCTATGGTTCTCGTTTATTTACAAAAATGACTGCGAGCCCGTTATATCGGAAAATCGAGCTCCCGAAACAGTTTTTGTAACCCCCAAACCCGGTAAATCGATTTATCGAGTTCAAGCGTTTCAAGCTTGTTCTGGCCGCGATCGACGCTATAAACTGCTCACCACAAAGTCGCCAGTTGAGAATGCACATCTTCTTGCAGCGCGTGGGTAGTGCTCTGTCCTGTGAGCATGCACTGGCGGTGCACTAGACCCGAAATGTGTACCAGTAGCAAACACTAGCGAGTCGAGCTAAACGTGTAAAACGTAAAGTAGTCGCCTCGATGAGCTTCTCCCAGTTGTGCTAGCAATTGCTGCTGCTCACGATAGCTGACTTTTCCGTCTCCTCGGGAGCTTTCTCTCACAGATTTGACGCTTAATGCACATTAGGTACTAGCAATGAAGGTCAACGGAGTCATCACCGTATTTGGTGCATGCGTAGAAATATCCGCTGCCATTACCCCATGAAAAAATGTAGCTGTTTCGAGAGGCTGTGAGCATAGCGACAGTATCGGTAATGCTAACTATGCATTCCTAATCGCTCAATCTATCCGTCTGCCTTACAAAGTTTCATCTGTGGTATCGTTGCTTGTGGCGGCCACGTGCAACATCATCGGTAAATTACGGAAGATTTTGCACACATTCTGACTAAACGATGTCATAACTCGTTGTTTTAGCAAATCTTGAAAAAAATAATCCAACATTGATTTACATCGTCGAATTAACGTTGAATTGCCATTTATTCGAAGAGTTAATGTTGCCTTATGAGTGTTTTCGTTAAATGGCTGTAGTAAAAACGCCAAACCAGCGTCGCACACTCCAAGTCTTCTTAAGCTCTGCAACTACATTCCAGAAGATGACAATTTCTATCGATGTGCGTTGGAGATCTATTGTGCTGACCTACATCTAAGACATTGACTTAAGTGTCGCGTCCGTTCCGTTATAGGAAAATCTTCATTCGGTAAGAACGAGTAGCGACTTGGAATAATCTTATGTTATGTCGTCGTCGTTGCTGCGCGCATGTAGCCTGAAGCAAATAGAAAAACAGATGTCCACGTATTTTCGTATTTAGTTTACGACAACGTTCAGCGAAAACCTCTGTAGTGAATTTATCAGTGTACGCTCGGTTGTAACTTATCAAAGTACATTTTAATGTCGAGAGAGAGAGAAAAAAAAAAAGAGAGAGTTTATGGCAGAGAATGATAAACCAAAGATGCAAGCGGGCTACAGCAACGAGGTAGGTTGGTGGACAAGTGTGTATTGAGCTTTGCATCAACTTTGGCTTATGAATAGCGCCTCTAAAACAACGACAAATCTATTTCGTGAATCTAAAGCTAGAACACAACCCAACGTCAAAATAAGTTAATCATACCCGATGGCAAAGCAAAACTGCAGGTACAACGCAAAACTGCAGCTACAAGGCAAAGCCCAGCTACTTCTTTCCCAGCTTGTTGACCTGAACAAGTGCTTGCCTGCACACTGACCTGCTCCTCCACGGGCCAATCGGTAAGTAACTGAGGTCTATTCTCATTCGAAGCGGGATGCTTTTTCTAATATGCTACGTGTGTGTGTGTATCAATTCGCTGATCGGCATCATATTACATCTACGACGAAACAGTAAACGAGAAATAGACCGCGTCGAGACCAAAGAACGGACAGAGTCGTTAACTTTAAGGAGTTTGCCTATAGTTTTTAAATAACAGCACAATAAAACAAAATCGCTAAAATATAGTTGGTGTGTAGTAAAAGCACTGGTCTGCGGAGTACACTGCCCGTGGAAGTTTATTCTTACTATTGTCAATAATCGAGAGGAACCATTTACAAGTTGTTGCAAGGACTACAGTAACACAACAATATACTGGCATGATATCCCAGAGTTTCCCCGCGCAGAACACTGCATTAGTTGTCATATAAAAGTACTGCTTTTGTGGCCAACGCAACAACTACCGTATCGTCGTAGTCATAAGAGTCGTTTATTCCTAAGAGTCAGCTGCAAAGGGTCCAATCAGAACCAGGCATTTTCTTGCAGTTGGTTTTGTTAAATACCGAAAGAGCACATTTAATTTTAGACTCAGTGCATATAAAGCAAACCCCCATAAAAAGTCAGACCTCAAAGCACACTAGCCAACCAAGAGAATCATGTATCGTCCTCACATAAATGACCAAGGCAACAAACGAAACGCACCGCTGTGGAATATGGTCACAAATGCGATGTTCTCAGCTACCTCGACGACAGTCACAGAGACCATGAAAAACTGCTATGGCGAGTTCAACGGCAATGAAGTTCGGCTAAAAAATCAGATCAATAATTGGATGAAGCAGACTGCAACAATCCGCGCTGCATGTGAATCCGGCCTCAACCTGTGCAGTCTTGGTGACGCGACTGTACTTAGCAAGGACGCTGAAGCTTCTATCGTTCTTTGGTTGAGCTCTCAGAGGAAGGTAGGGGCCCCAGTCTCCCGTCTCATGTTACAGCTCCACGCTAAAGACGTGGCGACTGAGGTCCGACTTGGAGACAAATTCGGTGCAACGTCGACATGACTTAAGCTATTTCCTCGATGCCACAAACCGGGACTACATGGCTACATGTGATGTGTCCACACCACAGCCACATCATCGTCCTATGGTACACGGTACCAGGAACTCTGAGAACCATGAAGCTGCTTCAACTAGTAATTATCTCATCTGAAATTCTATCTGAAAGCAGCTCTGACAACCACTATTCACTGCATCGCTATATAGGTCTTACTAAAAGCTGATTATAGTTTGTATTGCAGGCTAAACTAGAGCCGCCTATAAATATATTCAGTCTTAAAATCAAGTAAAAGGAAATAAGTTCCTTCAGATCGGGGACTTGGAACTGCCGTTCACCTGGAGTTTGTATTCTCCTTAGCACGCTTCCTCAACGCAAGGTGCTGTGTGACGACCCGTCACATCGTCGCTTTCGCCATCATGTTCAGCTTCTGACTTCCTTTCACCAGCGTCCAAGGCATTCAAATGGGTATCACCTGCGCTACGTGTTTTCTGCTACCGTATTTTTCCACTTACAGTCCTTCTGAAAGCCACTATTTTCGCATCAAATTGGCGATGTGTCGGCACTGGGTGCATTAACACACTTAACAATTTGCCAGAGGGACGATCGGATAATTTAACCCCTCCAGACCGGATGTAGCATAATGCTACATAGTCTATCCACTAAAGCTGAAGATCTTCACCTTAACCGATTTTTGACTTGAAATTTGTATGGACGCCCTTTCCCCCGTTCAAGGGGCTTACAAAATTTAAGTTAAGCATCCGTGTAGTTTCTGTACAAGCCTTCCTGTGAACACAAGGGTTAGGGGTATATTTGTCTAAATTCCAAAAATTACTTTTGACGGGTATCTGCGAAATGCAACTGATTTGTATCGGGAATCACAGGTACATGGTACTTCCGTCGCAGACGAGTGGCTGAGAGCCACTGACATGTACCGCCTTTTCCAAATCCTCCTCATTCGTGAATTTGCGCTCCGAGGGCTCAAGTCAACAGAAAAGATGGTCAAGCCACGAGGGAAGGTCCCGCGCGATTTAAAGGTCACAGGGCGCGACCTGTCGTTCAAGTCAGTGTGGCGCGAGCTGAAACAAGACGGGTGGACGAGAAAGCCACCACCACGCAGCAGCTTGGATGACCGCTACAAGTACATCCGTCCCGAAGGTCATCCAAACGGCACAATTGGTCTTAATTACTTGTTGGGGGAGGCAGCCGTGCTTGACTTCTATGCCGATGGTACGTCTCGAGCTACTGTTGCTATTGACATGTTGCTAACATTTAGTTATCATGTATACCTGCAGTACTGCGAAGTCGCGCACGCAGATCGATTCCATCCAGCCCCACCGTTGGCTGTACATCTAGTACTCCCGGAAACGATCGTCTAGCAGCACCGCAGGAAGTCGTTCGCCAGAGTTATCTACCTGATATTGAAGCCGCTGATGCAAGTGCAACAGCGGCTAATCAGGGTGTTGGGACCGTGAATGCTGCAGGTAAAGCTGCATTTTGTGCTGAATGTAATGGTGACCTTAATCTAGCATATTATGGTGAATGTGTAACATTGTTCGTGCTGTTTGTAATATGCATTGTAGCTACCACAAATGCAGAACCGCCTACTCCTCCAGATTCTTCACTACCTCAGCGCGTTGCGACTCGCCTGCCTGCTCGGCGATCGCTAGAGACGACTGAGACCTTCCGTGCCTCGCGATCCTCCCTTATACCAACTTCACCACACGTTGGAGATGACTCATTCAAGATCGACAGTGATGATACTGCTCGTAACCCGGAGGCGGCCGAGGATGACGCTTCGGTTGCTTCTGCTGAAGTTCAAGCTGGTATGTTGCATACTACACTGCATATTATCCTGTATTTTAAGGTGCATATTAATGTGCTAGCGCTTGACTGTATTTTATTTGTTGTAGGCGATGAAGACAATGAAGACGAGCTGGATGCACTGGGAAGTGAGTTGCTCGCAGACAACAACGACGACTTGAATGCTATTGACTCGAATGAAAGCGCTCACCAGTACGGAGGAATTGAGTCGGGGGATGAAGCCGAGAAAGATGATGTTGATCTGGGTGAATACGATTCAGACCAAAGTGTAGAAGCGTACTGCGCTCCCGATGATCTCGTGGATGATGTGGATGAGACGGAAGCTGAAATTGCTGAAGAAGTTTTATTTGCCGAGAATTGTTTGGAGCGTTTTGGAGGAGCTGATGAAGTTCTAGCAGGTAACCTGAAGGACTCAGTATTGCGGAGCATGTCTGCTACGGGCTGGGAAGATGTTGTGGAGCCAGACATTTACGAGCAGTACGGTATCGCTACAAATGGCGGAGAAGGCCAGATCTGCGGTTGCAAGTTACTTCTCGTCTCACGAAAACAGCGATGGGACTGATGTGAACAAGTGGAGTGTTTCGGAGGACGATACCGGAAGCAAACGTGAATATGGGAACCCAGCTCGAGATCCGTTCGTCCGACAATTCATGCGCGGTCTAAAAAAGAAGAAAGCCTTGGAGTACGTTCCCGCACGAGCTGTGCCCATATCGCTTCAGATGCTGGACGTGCTGCACAAATTTATGGTCTCTGCACAGGATGGTTTCACTGAAGACTGTCAGATGTGGTTTAAAGCGGTGTCATCCTTCGCCTTCGATGGAATGTGTCGTATCAACGAGGTTCTCACTCTCAAATGGAAGGACGTTTCCCTACGTCAATTTCGCGCCAACGTCCTTGCTCCCGACGAGATTATCGAATTTGGGACGTACACGCATTTCAACAGAAAGATTGAGGTAGAGGAGGGGCGATCTTATAATCTGCACAAGCTGGCTGGCGAAGAAACAGCGATGAATGCTTACGAATACTTGTCGAATTGGGTCGCCTATGCTACCGAGAAAAGAGGACACAAGTGGGTTGATGAAGACTACGTTTTTCCTGTGCTTGTTGGTCTGAGCAAGAAAGCTATTAAAAGTGGCAAAGGTTCCACAGGATGCGAGAAGGTGACCGTTGGTTGGGGAAAGAAGATGGGAGAGCAGAGCTTCATCAATCTTCTCAACTGCATCGTCCATTCTTAAATCGGCAAGGCCAGTCGACACCAGGCTATGTTGCGAAACAGTGGTACAACAGCTGGTTTACCTCGCACACCTTCCGTCGTGCGGGGGATCAATACCGCTTCATGTACGCCAAGCCAGCGCGTCGATGGTCGTTACGAATGATTAAATGGTGGGCCGGATGGAGTGTATCGGAATCGACAGAGACATTAGTACGCTATATACTGGATCTAACGATTCAGACTGAGGAAAGCGAGCTCGCGGATTGTTTTGCACCTGGTAAATCATACCTACACGGATGTTCAAGTGCTCCGCTCCCTATGAAGCCAGCAAGAACACTGAAGAAGGGCCGGTAATAAAGCGACTTCGCCAACTGGAGACACTACTTTTGGAGACGAAGGCGCAGATCACCGAACTGAAAAATCTGCAATCTCAAGCTGGACTGACCGACCAATCTGTGGCTAGATTACCGGCCATTAATGTCACCGACGAGGCCGCTGCTAGTAACCTGGAAACGCAACTTCGCAGCCAGACGAATGGACTCGATATTCCTTCGGTCAAGGATTGGGCACACTTATGGTTACTGTGGTGGCTCCCCCATGAAAAAGTGCATTTGTTCAAGCCTCTTTCGGAGTGGCCGCAATCGGATCGAGCTCGTGCAGGAATCACCCGAAGCTGGTACAGTGTGGCCAAATTGCTAGGAGAAGACCTCGCCATGTTCGCTAATATGATGGGGGAGTCAGACAAGTGCCGCTGGCACAAAACGGTTCTACCTCTTTTCAGCAGTTACTACGTCAAGTATTACGGAGGTGCCGGGAGTGCTGATAGAGACACAACGTTCACCATTTCGATGCTGGCTTCTTTCATCAGAAAAGATCGCAAAGGCCGCCGAAACAGCGCTTGCCCAGCAAAGCCATTGCCTGACTACTCTTCGTATCTATAGCTATGCATACGTACCGTTTAGTCTGAATACGTCCTTTTTGGTTTGAACTTGTATTTTAAGCTCTGACCGTATCGTACATTTTTGTCTGAACTCGTATTTCATAGTATGATGCAGAATATGTCTCGATCTACAAGAGTGGCGAATTTTATGATGAAAAAGTCGTAGAATTCATCATTTAATGTCTTTCCACCATCCCTCCCTCGTTTCCTAGTTGGTCGTCTTACTTCCGCCGTGCTTGGCCTTAAGAAACGATTCCTTGTACTCTTCAAAGGTTGAAGATGGCCCAACACTTTCCAACTTTGCTATTTTCGCCTTCAGCTTTGCAATCACTCCGGCATGATCTTCTTGGGCCTTGTTCAATCGTGCTTCGAAATCATACTGGTGTCGCTCCTTTGCACGCAGGTACCGATCCACTTGCTCACGCCATACAGAATGTTTCTCGGGGTGACCTGCGTCCACGCCGTCCGTTCAACAGCCTCCACTTCTATTTCCTGTGGCTCCAACTCCGCGAGCTTACATCGAGCCGCTGTCCATATCACATTTATTTTTCATAAATATTTATATTTTTTCCCTGAAACATCATGAAACAACACTTTTGTTGGCCAATCATATGCGACCACATGTAGATTTTTTTTTTTGACCGATCAATTTCATAAATTATGTAGAGACACTCCAGTTACATTCAGTTGTAGAAATTGGTCTGAAATGGGGAGCGATGACGATCGCCCACCTAGAGGCGAGTGCCCGGAGTGCTCCAAGCTGGTGTCCAAGTCAAATATGGCTAAGCACAGGAAGGTCTGCGGCAAAAAGAAGCCTCGGAAGTCACGCAAGGCTATTAACCGTGACTCGTACGTCCGGAACAAGGACAAAATCCTTCGCAAGCGTCAGGAATATCGTCTAGCCGATCCGTTTCGACGCCTTTCAGATAATTTATTTTATTTTCTTTCTTGAACTACTCTTACTATTACTGTAGTACAGGCTGTACAGCGTACTGTAGTATTTATTTGAGACTACTATAGTGATTGTGTTGGGAACCCACAATATATTCCTGTCTAAGGGTATTCCTATTCACGTATGTACCATAAAAATGGTCCCGAGTACCTTTGGTTTGGAACAATGCGGCTGCCAAACTGTATGTGGGGAGGCAATTTCTTGGAGTATTACTTGCTGGAACGCTATGCCACCGTCCCTCTTCGCTAGGTGCTGGAAGCACTTTAGACTACTACAGCCGCGTCTACGAAGAACCAGATGAAGAGGATGCAATGTCCGTGACGATGTTATCTCGTCTGCACGTTAAGGACCCAATGTTCGTGGGCGAGCTGCTGAACACGCCGGACGAGAACACAGCTGCAGAAGATCCCACAGATGAAGACTTCTGTAGAGTTGGTAACCAAAAATTGGCTGTGAATGCCTCTGAGAACGGCTCAAAAAAAAAACCTGGACGAGCACGATATGGAGCGTAGTACGTGGATTGAGGAGGACCTTAAGCCAGAAGCAATTAAAGAGCATTTCATGTGGGTCGCTTAGCGACCGTCGCTAAGCTTCTGGTTCGTGCAGGTGCGACTGGCGTATCGGATAGATAGGTGAGTGGATTGCGAGAAATGCAGCGCACGCTCCGTGAAGAACTTTGAAGAAAGCAAGGTCACAAGCACCAAAAGTCTTTGCATGATTTCTTCGGATGTACTGTATTGTTATGTATTTTTCCATAGTTAAGCACCTCGGAATAGGAATGTTTGACTTCAAATGTTTTCCATTTACGATTGAGGGGTTTGAGGGAATAATATCTTGGGTTTGTATGTGACTGGTCAACTAATTTACTGCTACTGAGGAGTATTCCATTTCTAGGGATTACTACCGAAGGGATCGTCTGTATCACAAACATAATTTGTGTGCCATTTGTGTGGTCGCCGCGAAAATGATCTGCACCGAACTTTCTCCATCGTCCTAGATTTCGCTCTGCATCTTTCATGCACCTTCAAAAGAGAAATGTGCCCTCATGTTATTAAAGTACATGTTACATGCACGCATGTACAACCTCGGTGAGCCGCCAGCGAGCTTTGATCTCTCGGCGACGGTGGTTTCCCAAGTCGTCGCGGTGGCGTGCTGCGCTGCGGACTAGCGCCGGTTTTGCCATTCAGACGAGCGTCACGACGTGACACTAGACTCACTTGGATTAAGTATGACACCGCGCAGCTGGCCTTTCGGAGGGACGATCTTTTAGACGGGGGGTTCCGAATGGAAACTTCTGCCAGCTCTGCTGATGTCCACAGAGCACTAAGAGCACTACAAACACCGACTCGCATTATTCCCTCGGCCCCAAGCCTTGTTGTTAAGAGCAATACAGCTTGGACTTAACTGTAACCAGCATTCTGCAGGGTCGTTGAGCGAGCATGTACAGTACTGGACGGCTTCAGGGCAGCCAGTAGTCAGCATACCCTAGCCCTATCCCCCTTAACTGGCAACTTCTTGCACTCTGGGCACTTCAAGGAATCGCCACGTTGCTGTTGGCCATAAAAATCTATCGACTCGACCGTTTCCGTAACAAAGGTGCTCCATGCGCTTTGCTTCTGGAAAGATCCGCATACAAAAAGGAAGCTATTTTCCAAGTTGCTGAATGAAGGGGGGTGCCCCAATTATTTTTCTCATGGCCTCGACTTTTGTTCCGTCAAGGCTTCCACCAGTGGGGAAAGCGAAGCACGGGAAGAAGAGCGGAAGCAGCGGAGCGTCCGTGCAAGCTCACTCGGTCTTGCGTCGACACCTCGCTCACCTTCGCGCAGATCGAGACACGCCCACCTTTGGCCAAGCGTCGGGGGTCGCCACCGCGAGCTTTAAATTTTTATTTACAGCCCCGGACAACTCCACTCGTCCTCGACGTATTTCCTTCGCACTTCAAAAGGAAAAGGGCGAAGAGAGCGACACGTGCTTGACAACCACCGGCCGGTCGCGAGATCTTTAGCAACAGGTTTACTAAAAAAAAAAAAAGGGAAACCTCCTCATAATAACTAACAGGATGTTGGCAGTGGCCCAACGCCCCGAGCCCACAGCCATGCTGAACCACCGCGGGGAGCGGATCATGCCGCTGCCGTACCGCCCCATGCCCAAGAGTAAGGCCAAGACGCGCAAGCTCTCGGTCATGGAGGGCGAGTACGAGCACGTGCACCTGACCAAGAAGCAGCGCAGCGAGTACAACCTCGAGCCTGAGCTGGAACCCGCCGTTTTGGCCATGCATCGCCAGGAAAGCACCGAGAGGAACTCCCCTTTCGACCTGCACCTACAAGCCGTATACGAGGGGAACGCAGAGGACGGACTGCAGTTCTTCGAGTCGCACGGCTACTACGACATCAGCGACGCCAACACGGTGGAGATGTTCCGCCAGAACTTCGGCCTTGGGGAGGGATTCTGGCTGGGAAGAGAGGAAGAAGAGGAGGATTTGGTCTTCGACACTCCCATCCCTGCCGTCTACCCCTTTGGCTCTCAGCAGCAGATCCTGAGCTCCAGGAACCTGCTGCACCGTGAACGCACGAACTCTGGCAGGTTCACGTTACTGGACGACGACGGCAACGAGGTGGACGAACACACACTCTGGGAACTGGAGCGTGAGGACAGACTCAAAGCCAAGAGCCTGGAACTCGACGACGACGACCTCGCTGAGCTTGCCAATGATGAAGTCATTATGGTGCAAGCGATCACATTCATTCGCTCCGAGAAGATCCAGTTGCAACAGTTCTTCTTGCAGGCCTTTCAGGAGGAGCAAGCCCGAACAGCTCACATCCCTGGCCCTGTATTGAGGCAACCACAGCGGACAGAACTACCGCCGCCCATGCCTCCTGCAGATCTGGAACTACCGCCCTACTGTGGCTATGTGAACTTGTTGAAGGACACGATCCCCTTCTTGATGCGTAGCTGGCACAAACGCTGGTTCTACCTGGACTTCCAGGCCGGTGTAGTGCTCATGTACAAGCGCAGCTACTGGAAGAGTCCGCGTGGAGTCATTGACTTGCGCAACGTGGCTCACATTGAAAAGATGAGCCAGGGAGACTTCCGCATTGAGTTCCACGACACTGGAGCTGACGCTCCGGCGATGATGCTCATGCGCTCCAAGACGCCCGAAGAAGCGGAGCTGTGGGTGAATTTGATGCGTTTTGCCAAGCAGGCGTCGCGTGGTGCACCGCGTCTGACGAACACCATCATGGACAACACTAAAGCGCTAATGAAGAAGGCTAACAAGAAGAACCAGGTGGATATCTTGGCACAGCTGTTGCAAAACTCAGCTAACAATGCGCCGTCGAGCAACCTCCGAGCAATCGCTCAGGCCTCGGCAGTAGCAGCATCTGCTGTCTCCAGACGCAATAGCAAACCCAACAGACACCACAATGCGCTCACGGCATAGGATCGCACACACACACATGGTGGGAAGTCACATCAGATGACCAAGACGAGAAAAAACACAAGACAAGTGAAAACTGTCAAAAGAGTTTAAAACCTCTTTTGTCCAGAAAAAAAAACACACACACTCAAGCGCGCAGGAGCTCTCTATCTATTTCCCGTTCCAAGTGTACAAGAGCTTCCAGCGTTCTGCCTCGACATGTTCATAGCCAACCCATTCCCCCACCACACAACCAACTCGACGAGCCCAATTAGGCGGCGCGTATCTCGTTCCGCTTTATCGGACTCTTGTCATCTTTGCAGAAACAAGGGAAAAATACAATATTTTCTGTAGCTGTAAGAAAATTTGTTTTTATTTTTTTTTCTAATTAGTCGGGAACTTACACACCGACACTTGGACGTTGCGGCAAGCACAGATTATAGAAGCTGTTCTTGGCGAACGTCGTGGTCTTGCGCCAACTGCACGGCACCGCCTTGTAACCTTCGAGTGCTACAGTTTGGTGCTGGATGGTGGCCAGATCCTCGTCGCCTGAATAGTGCGGGTCCAGTGTGAGGAAGGCGCAGACTCCAGCATCAGGATCGTAGTCCACACCCAGCAGCGTGAACGCCAACTGGCCTCCACCCATCATGACGGGGGTTCCCTGCGTCTCGAAGTGATACAAAAGTTCCCGTGCTACGTCGGGCAGTTGAGCGCCGCTAGAGACGCTGAGTGAGCGGAATGTTACACCAAACAGCTCGTCCAGGACGTACCCAACTTCCAGACTACCAATCCATTCGGTTGAGCCTTGGAAACGCGCTGGTTTGTCTCCAATCTTGACCAATGCACTCTGAATCTGCTCGTGCGAGAGGAAACGCTGCTGTGTGTAGTGCTGTACAAACAGCCAGGACGCTAGTGTTTGCAGCGATCGGTACGCACAGCCCCATCCTTTGTCATTCATACCCTGCTGGAGATAGTGATAGTAGCCATAGAAACCATCGACCAAAGCTGAATGGCAGCGCTCTCCTACACCCGAGCTTGGGATGCCTTCGTGCACATTGTATAGCACATCACTTGAGGCGAGCCATTCGCCTTGCTGAGCCAACGAGCATCCACGAGACACGCGGAAGAGAGGCTGGTCTAGAGGCTGCAAGAAGGCACGATGCAAATGCTCCAGCGTCTTCACATCGTTCATGCTTTCGTCATTGAAATCAGGGTCTGTCGCGCTTGAAACTACCGTTAACGGGAACGCCGCTCCTATCAGTGGGAACTGGTGCGCTGTCACAGAGGTCACAGCCTCTGGGGCGTCTTTGAGCAGGTTAAAAACCTCCGTCAATTGATCATGAAGTCGTTGACGGAGCAGTGTCAATGCTGATTCGATCGGTGAGTCCATAGGGACCATAACTAACGCATCGCAATGTGCGTGAAAGCGTTGACGGAGCTTATTGGGGGCAGAAGGCGCCGGAATTGTAACCACAGGGGCAGCTACATCAGCAGTAGCTTCTAACGGCGCGAGACTGACCAGCAAGTCCAAGTTTGCAATGTCTCCGTACTCCAACGACGGCATGAAACCCAGCTTGTCTTCCTCGTCTCCATTCTGCTTCGTTGTTGTCTTTTTGCCTGCTTTCTTCTGCTTCTTCCCGTTCCTCTTCTTACTCTTCGTCTCTCCGACGCCGTCACTGTCATCTACTTCTGGCAAAATAGATTCCAACACTGTCTTAGCATCTGAAGACACGACGTCTTCTCCACGTCCATTTAGAACGCGGAAGCTCCTGCCCCTCTTGCCTTGCGTCACACCAGCTCGAACGTAAAAGTCTCCATCGTCACGTGTAGCAACCTTGTACTTCTCCAACTGATGCAACAACGCTCTCTTGTCTCCAAGCGCGTGAAGATCCACCGCACAACGTAACGGAGCAAACCCAATTACACGAAGGAAGTCGCGAGCATGCAAAGAGTGCACCACTTCCATCTCCACCTTGACAACTTTTCCTTCCTTGCAGTGGAACATACATGGCGTCTGCGTCGCCAACCCGTAAACCAATACAATTGCCTCGTTCGCATCACCTGCTACTTGTAACGCAACAGATTCTGCTCAATGCGAAGGTTAGCGCCGTACTTTCTTATGAGGCTCCATAACGTTTCGAACGTGTAGCTTACCGAGTTGTTTCTCGTTTTCTGAAGCTTCTCCTCGAACGACAACGAAGTGTCCGATGCGACTAATGCCTCCAGGCAAATTACGCACGAAGGAATGGCCATCAGTGTCATCCGGCGAGCAGCGTAACAGACCCCAAACTGCGACCTGTCGTGTGACCAACGCGTCATCTGTACTGGACTTAACGCCGCGCTGTGTGCCCAAAATTTCCCCACGTGTCAGTGCAGAATAAAGCGCAGTGTTGTCGCCTTCCTCGTCCTCGTTGGTCGTGGCGAAGCGTCTTAGAGAGCGCAGCAGCGGCGCCGGGATGAAGCCCTGCATGGCGTAGCTAGGATACTGGACCAGAGGAAGAGCGCGTTAACTGTTGGCTGAAATTAGCCATAAGTTTTGATCAATAATATCATACATTTCACCTTTTTATCCAATAGAACAATAGATGCCTGTCTGATCAATTGTCCAATCGTATGGGCCTACCCTTCCAAAAGCGATCGCTACGTGACCGCCGGATTCAAGAGATGTGACGGAAGCGATCGATTTGGAGAGGGGAGAATGTCGGGTTTGCGTTCACTATACCTCCGCTTTATCCCGAGGGGGAGTCCAGGTCTTTGCACGGACACACAACAGCGTTACCGCCGTGGACCGCTGGTCGGCAGAGGGACATTCGCGTGCCCGAAGACGCGAACTCGGCTCAGCCTCGCCCAGTCCCGAGGCTTCTTCGGCCGTTTTCACTCCAGCGAGTTATAAGGGGCTTTGGCCAGATATAAACCAAAAACCGCGGAGTCTCCTGTGACAAAACCTACACTCACTCAGTGTCTAACGGCCCAAGGCAACAAGACTCTCACACTTGATCAAGGCCACGATGCCCATGATCTACCGTCGTAACCGGGGCCTCTCGCCCACGCGGGAGCTGGCCGACGTCACGCGGGGCGTGAAGCCCATGGGGTTCGACACAGACGCGTCCTTTTTGGGCCGTACAAGACGCTGGTGGAGAGGCCGCAGCGTGCTCTTAGCGTCTCAACGAGTGTACCAGACCATGTGGCTCGCTGTGCTCGTCTACGCATTTCTCGGTCTTCCGGTATTAGGCCGCGTCCTAAATTTCGCCCGCTTTGTGCATCGCTTCCCAGCGCCCAAGATATTACAAGGACTCATCGTGGGGATGATGCAGGACGTGGCAATTTTCCTGCAGGCGTCCACATGTATCTGTCTCGTCAAGGTTTTATTCGACTCGGACAATTTCACGCCGCAGGGTCTTGTAGCTGCCAACAACGCACGGAGTTTCCCTAATAGCGGATTCTTGAGGGAACGAAGCAGCAGCGCCAGATTTTTACCCGTTTATATGCCGGTATTAGCCAACGAGTACGACCTCAGAGATGAAGGCATGGAAGCGCTGGCTTCTGGTGTCGCGACGAACCACCGAACGTTGCTGAGTTTAGGAGCTGCAGCCAACCGACCGGCGCTTGTGGCAAGAGCCAAGAGAGCGCTGCACTCGCTCGTGATTTTATCGTTATTGCAGCTGATTCTCGTGGCGGCAACAATTGCCAGTGTGGCGGATTTTTGCCTGCAGGTGACGATGCACCCGCGACTGAACCGAGCGTTTGTCAATATCTTTTTCAACTACATGAAGCAGTTCACGGCGTCGTTGACGGACGAGGAAGTGATGACGAGGACGGTGGTGGGCTCTTGGGCTGTATATTTCGCGCTTGTGGCGGCTTTGACGTATGGATTTTACACTGGTCGATTGCCACTAGCGTCGGACTTTCTGCGACTACCGAGTGCGCTTTGCTGCTGCTTTGATCGTCGCTATAGCGTACGGAAGGACTCGATGAACTCGTCAGCAACGACGACATCTGGATCGTACGTAAGCAACTTGTTTGCGTCCTACTGGCATCGAGCAGGGAAGCCCATTCGCACAAGGAGACGCAGTAGTCAGGGGTATAGCCACTTGCCAGGTGGAGGCGCTAGTGGATGCGCTAGTGGATACGCTGCAGCGATTGCGTCGGGCTCGTCGTTGTGCTCTACAGGTTATGGCTCGTACACCAAGTCGGGGCCGCTGACAATACTGGGGCGATGTATTGTTGCTAGTCTGTTGATGACTGGTGCTGCGCTGTCAGCTTCACTGCTAATTGACGGTAAAGGTGGCGTGGATATGAAGCTCATGAACAACGCCATGTTTACGCTACAAGCAGAGCAATTCTTCTACCACCCAACGAAAATTCATCGCGAAGAGATCAACTGTACTGCTGCTAGTAGTGCATTACGGTCGACTTTAGGAGTGTCAGAGAAGTACGAACTGGACAATCTTGGCAACGATGACCACTGCGCCTTATTGTGGCGGAAAACTACGGGATACGAAGGCGAGAATATTTTCGATCTGGATCTAAATACCACAAGTAAAGCTACGGTGGCAGTTGAAAATGCTACGGCCAATGCCAGCGCTGGATCAGCAGAGAAACCGAGCAAGGTCCAGCCGAACATCATTGTGATTAACATGGAATCTTGGAGACATCTGGACGTCGGTGTACTGGGTGGAGCTGCCAAGAAGGAGACGACCGGAAAGAGCGCCACCCCTCAGTTCGACGAGCTGGCCAAGACTGGTGTACTCTACAGCAAGCACTACACTCAGTGCGTTCAAACCACACGTACGTTGTTGACGACCCTGTTTGGTATGCTACCATCCTGTACAGAGACGACTGCACTGAAGCAGTACAGCACCACCCTGAATGTGCGTGGTTTGCCTCAATTTCTCAAGCAGCGAGGCTATTTCAACCTCTTTTGGAGTGCAGTGGACCTCACGTGGGAGTACTGGGACAAGTTCCTGCTCAAGAACGGCTTCGACAAGCTCGTGGATGACCGCAAGATCCGCAAGATGCTACACGAAACACGTAACTACAAGAACACGCCGGATGATCACTTTTCCTGGGGAATGCACGACCACTTGTCCTTCGAGATGCTGCTGTATGCCATCGAGTCGGCCCACAACGCTAGTGTAAACTCGACTGATGCATCAGCCGTGGCAAATGCGTCTTCTCTAGCTTCCAGCGCTAACAGTACGTTGCCTGAGACGTCCACCAACATGACTGAAGATGCTGTGCAAGTTCCGGAGGCGGCGGCAAAGGGAAGGCACTACCGCGCTACTCACTCCAGTGCCAATGAGGCGTCCAGCGCGACGTCGTCGACCAAGGATCCGTCCACAACGAAGGCTGCCAAGCCTCCTCTCCCTGGCTGGGAAGGACTGCAGACGCCGTACTTTATCGACATGTACAGTATCACGAGCCACAATCCGTGGGCGCTGCCGAATTTCTACGACGTGCCAGACCTCTCCGGCTTGTACACGCGGTACAACAAGAAGTATCTGGACTCGATGTACTTTTCGGATGAAATGCTTGGCGATTTTATCGCTGCGTTGCGTGCCAAGGGGTTGATGAAGAACACGATCGTCATCATTGAAGGAGACCACGGCTACGGCCGTCTGGAGCACGACAACAACCCGTCCATTGCAGACTCGGGGGTGTGGGATGAGGCGTCCAGAGTGCCGTTCCTTCTGCTGGCCGACGATTTTCTTCGAGACGAGGACAAGGGCACAGTGGTGAACCAGTTGACCATGCAGTCGGACCTCATGGCTACAATAGCAGACATCCTGGGCGTCACGTCAGAGGAGCCCCTGTACCAACATGGCTACGGCCACTCGATGAAGCGCCGTCGTGTCCAGCCAGAGGCTCAAAAACAAGCACAGGCATTGGCAGCTAAGACAGTCAAGGACAAGGATGCAGAAGTAAAGGACTCGGAGGCAGAAGCTCTGGCAGCTGAAGCTCGGGAAAGCCCTGAGGAGCGACGCGTCGTCATGTGCAACCCGTTCAACGGCATGAGCAAGGGCGTTCGCACCGAGGAGCTCAAGTATATCTTCCATCCTGACGGCTCCTACAACGTGTTCGAGCCTGCGATTGACCCAGCAGAGAAGAAGCCACTGCGAACAGGATTCGACGTGGAGGAGATGGACGACGCCACGCGCGACGTGTTCGAGTACGTGACGAAGGCGGTGGATCTGAATCAATTCCTCTTCGAAGCCAACCGGTTCATGACGCCTCTGCCAGCGCCCGTATCGTCCGTCTCGGAAGAGATAGAAGGAAAATACAACCGCATCAGGAGATCTCACGCGCAGAACGTGACGATGGAGAATCACGTCTCGGACGAGCAGATCGAGCCGAAACAGCCACGAGGCCCACCTGCACCCGTGAACGTGCTAGATTAGACACTACCAGACCTTGACATTGGCAAAGAAATCTGGACGACATAGTAGTTTTTTTATTAGGAATAAACACACCGCTCACATACCTAAAGCTGAAGTTGTCAGGTTATCCTTCTGGATACTCTTTGTGCCATTTTTATTGTGGCAAATTGTTAAATGACTGCGATAATGAGTGTTGGCTGAGAATTTGACTATGATGGAGAACAGAAAGATGCTGGAGAGCCCGCAGCTACAGCCACACAACTGAAGTGCTAGGATTCACATCCTTAAAGGAAATGGATACGGGACGCTCATTACGAGATGGACCGGCACTCTTTTAATAGCACCCCTGGTGTGAAATGCTCAATCGACGGCTGGATTACGGGAACTTTTTTTTTGGTCAGCCCTTTAGGGCTGGCAGAGCCGGCTGAGAATATATTTGCACTCTTATCAAAAGAAAAAGAGAATAGTAAGCCGTGAGCTTGGACGCATGCAGCCAAAGACGCAAACGCGAGGATGCAGGATGGTGCCTTCATTTTGAATTATGTAGGGAAGCAAGTCGATACTTAGGACAGTCGAGAGAGATTAAAAACTGAGTGATACGAAGGTTGGTTGCAGTCTGTACTACTTGCACTGTTCCGAGCAGTGTTGTCGGAACAAAGCTGAATTTATTTAGTGTTGTCGCACATCACCATTCAGGGTCTTCCGTTCTGCTGAAGTTTTGCTCCTTTTGATTATAATTTTGTCAATATTGGCGCTTACTCTTTTAGCGTTTTAAAAAAGAATTGGAGCCAAATAGAAGCGTATTCTGCATCCAATAGCTGTCCTAGAAAAAAAGGCATCATCCGGCTAACCTATCCCGAACAAGGATACAGTAAATTTGCTGTTGTGTTTAATTCGAGCGGAGGAACTATGTAATATAATACTCCACGAGCCCTGCAACAGAATGCTATGTACGAACCGGTCAACAGTATTTTAATACTCATACTCCCCTCTGTTTCACATTACTTGACAAATTGATTTGATTGGTGGAATGTAATTAACGTATTCATCGTTTTGGTTCATCGCATTTTATGAGCGAAGACCCATGAGCGAAGATCCAGCCAAGTTTTTTTTCTTTTATCGCAAGGTTTTACTATTTAGCGTACATAGAGTTTAGATTTGTCGAGCAACCGGGAACGATAAATCGCGCTGATTATTTTGATGCGCAATTTGCATGTGGTCCCGACCAAAATTTAGTCAGCACATTTGAATTTCTTAAATTTAGTCAAGTAATCTGAAACGGAGGGAGTAGCACATTTATTACGCACAGAATTTACGCCAGCCCCACTTCAATGCACATGTCAGCAATATGGCTTTAGCACGGTCGAGAACTTGATTGGAAGTCCCAGTTACCTTTGACCTACCTCCGCATGCGACGCTTGCACGAACTAGTTCCGGTTCCTGGTGTTTCGTTACTCGTGACGGTAGGAGGAGTATCTGCCGGAGCTGGAGTCGAGTCAATCTTCGTAAAACCCGTCGTCAGAGCAGCCGGTGTCGCTTCGGGTGCAGCAGGGGCAGCTTCAGGAGTTGTTTGTTCCGTTGTTAACGCCTCCCCCGCGACCTCTCCAGATCCTCCGTTCGAAATAGGAACGCATTGCTCTAAAAGTAGCAAAGCAGGCATGACGAGTTAGCATACGTCAAAACAGCTTTGAGCACGGCTTCATTGACGTACTGTAAATCTGCCATTTTGGAGAGTGGAGTGCCAACCAGTAGAAGACAAACAAACACTTGTCACCCTTGCATGCCGAGTAGTCCGTGGGGATTTTCGCTGGGTACGAAGGAAATTCAGCAACACAGTCATCGTAGTGAAAGACCTTTGTGTCGTCAATCCAGCCTTCACAGGGGCCCTGTAAAAGCGAAAGAATATAGTTCAGTAAAGAGTAGGTAGCAAGGTAGCAAGGTAGCAAGGTAGCAAGGTAGCAAGGTAGCAAGCACTTTAAGGTGATCAACGTACGTGGTGCGACTCCAGGAAACCCTCCTTGTACTCATCGTTCTGCCACCACATCTCCTTGTAGCCGCTCACATCTACTGGCGGCGCCGTGTCCAGCGAGTATCCGTAGCCGGGAGAAATGGGGTCAATCATATCGCGAAGGGACTTGTATCCCGTGGCCTTCCAGTGCTCTGCGAACTGCTTAGCGTTGTTCACTGGCTCGTGATTGTAGACACCACCGGCGAATCCCTTGTTTACGCTTGCGCTGGTGACACCGTTGTACTTCGTGTAGGCGGTGTTGGGCTTGTACGAAGCCTTGGGTCGCGAGATGTAGCCATGGGCGTTCACGAAGCCCACCAACGTGGCTAGCACAATGGCACTCGAAAAGACGAAGGTCTTCATGCTCGTGTAACCCTCGGACAGACCGGGGGAGGGGGAGAGAAGAGTTATTGTCCTGACACGTGCGATTAAAGAATGAGGCTTAGCAGAAGTCTTCCACAAGTAAGAGCCTTACAAGGGCACATCCATAATTGACATCCTAGACATTGTCGATGTTCGTCTTACTGTAACACCGTCCTCGCCAAAAATTAAACGATTGTTGTCGATCGAACGGTAAAAACAGAGGAAACAGATGGCATGCCGTCTCGTGCTTTTCCTGTTATCACACTGAGATTTATTGTAGTATAGTAATAACAGATAGTGCATATACCGGTACAGAATAATTAAAAGTATTCACTATAGGTAAGCGGATTTTACTTTCTTCTTCCCCTTCAGCGATTGAAAGCCACACATATTGGTGGAAACTGGAACGATTCCCGCAGCACGTCTGGGAGGTCCAAAATGAGCTTTCTAAAGTTCAAAATAAAAATATCTATGAAATCAAACGACTTCAAATGGTTGCGGAATCGCTCCCCTAACCTGTCACAATATAAGGCCATTCTAATGTAAGAAATCTAAAATCCCTTATCAACTTCAAGAATGACAAATCGCTTGTTGAATATGATAATAATAATTAAGTTCAAAGGCCCACTAAGCTTGGCCGATAAAACCATGGTAACTGTTGCCGTGATGGAGAGTGGTGAAAGGCCGAGGAGATTGCAGTAAGAGCTATGAACCTCACATGCCAATCTTTCCGTTGGCTAGTGACATTTTGAACTTACATTTCTGACATATTGAACTAGCAATATGTATCAGTCCTGCGCTCTCGAAGCAGCAGCCCAGCATTTTCTAACTACGGCGACGTAGGCCACACTTGCCTGACGGGGTGGCAGCTTCTGTCGGTGTCGCTGGAGTAGCTTCAGGGACAGAGGGCGTGGTTTCCGGTGCGTCGGTTGAAGCCTGAGGTTCAGGGGTGGCGGTGTCCGGAGCCGGAGTGTTTGAGGTAGCGGATGGCGCCTCCGTGGACTCGGTCTGTTCAGAGTTTGAAGCTTCGCCTTCTACAGACGCTTCAGATTGCGTCTCATCAGAATCTCCATCATCGGTAGAAGCAGACGCCTGTGTAGTTGTTGTACCTCCGTTGTCACGCACACCAGGAGATTGTGTTGTGGTTGACGCACCAGACCCATTGTCCGTAATCGGCACGCACTGCTTGTAGATCTGCCAGTTTGGCTCATGAAGCGCCAGCCAGTAGCAGTCGCTCTTGCGAGACGAGTGGACCACCGGAATCTTGGTCGGATACGACTTGAAGCGAGCAGCACAATTGTCGTAGTGGGAGACCTGCGTCTCGCCAATCTACACCTCACAATGACCTTCGTGCGAGGCGATGAAACCTTCCATGTACTCGTCATTCTGCCACCACATCTCGGTGTATCCCGTCACGTCGACGGGGGTTGCCGTTTCGACGGAGTATCTCTATTCTGTGGCGATGGGGTCAGTCATGTCACGAAGCGACTTGTAACCCATAGCGTTCCAGTGCTCGGTGAATACTTGCGTGTTCTGCGAGGGACTTCCATCGCATATGCCACCGGTAAAGCCCTTGTTAACTGCAGCAGTCATAATTGCGTTGTAATGGGTGTACGGGGTGTTAGGCTGGTAGGCTGTCTTGGGCTTGGAAATGTAGGCAAACGCTGAAGAGGGCAGTGCAGTACAATGGATCCTGATGAGCACAGGCGACATGTTCAAGAAGCTTTACAACGTAACGCTTTTCCTCCCACTTCAACATATTGTGACGCAACGAAATGGAGAGACGACATGGCCCCGGTGTCGAAGCTGTTCACCCATCCAACAGTTATTTGGGTTCCAGAATGCCTTAATGGTGGCAAGTCGGGTTGAACTACTTTAGGGTGCCTGTGTGCTTCGCGAGTGAAGGAATATATGCAACGGACAGTTGATATTATTGCCTGTAAATGTACACTTGAAATTTCCCCACATTCCCGAATTTGAGATGTTTTTCGAACCGCACTTAGCTTTACTGTGGGAAACGCATAGATTCCTGCAATTACGGTTATACAATTACATTTGTCATGAATA